GTTTGTTTTTTTTTCTTCTATGAAATTTAATTTAGAAATAATTAATACAAGAAGTAGAATTATTAAATCCTTCATTAAAACAAAATGAAACATCAATTATAAGTTAAACAATAAATGAAATATGAAAAATTTATTTATTTCTTTTAAATTAGAATGATAAAAAGAATCGAGAACATTCAAGTAGTATGAGTCAATTTATTAATAATGATTCAACAAGTAATCAATCAGATTCATCGTCATCATCAACAAATCCAATTTTTAGACAACAACAATTATTACATGGAAATAATTACGTAACATCTCGATCAACCGATGTTCAATCAGTACAATATGAAACTTTAATATCACATGATGAACAAGAACAATCAAATAAAAATTCATTAGCCACAACAAAACATGGATTAATGACAAAAAATACTAGTAATAGCTCTAGAAATAGTGAAGAACGAAAGAAAGATACCAGTAGTAGTGGTACAATTGTTTTGATTAAACGAGAACCACAATCAGAACTGAACGATGAAGTTACTCTTTTGTTTTTTGTTGTTTTAAAAACAAATCAATCTTGAATTGTTTGTTTAGGAAGGTATGCAAAACCATAGCACTAGCCGTCGTCGTCGTCGTCGTCGTATCATTGAAAATACAGCTCGTCAATGTTATGGACCAGGATGTATGTTAGAAGCAGGGTTGCCAGATCAAAATCTTACAAATCGGAATTCATTTGCCTGAATTCGGAAAATTTCGGAAAAAATATCTGGCTAATTCGGAAAAAATTCGGAAAGTAGTGGTTTTTAAGCTTTTTGACGCTCGAGTTGATTTTTTTGGTAAAAAAAAGCTTTCTGAGTTTGGTTATCCTCTCTGTAGATATATTTCATCAATATTAAAACAAATATATTAAATATAGTACTGTTAGAAAATATCATTTTCAAGAAGAGACAGTTAATACACGAAAAAAAACTCAAAATAAACTATCTATACATGTATGTATACCTACAATTCAAAACATTTATTGAAAAAGAAACTAAAGTTCATGTACTAAGACGTTTTTTCGAACAAACTTTCCATTTTAAGCTATTTTTTTCAATAGTTCCTCTTGAGTAAAAGAAAGTCATGAACATTTGCACAAGGAATATCGGAATTATTTCTGATTTATAACTCAGATTTCATCAATTCGATATCCATTCAATTTCGATAATCAGATCATAAGTGAGTCATGTGACTGAATATTGATTCAAGAAAAGAACTGCTACATGAAATAGAAAATACATAGGTAACAATTAGTTTCAAACTCAGTGCTGTCTTTGGGTCAATATTTAAAAAATATGAACATAAGTGATCAGATTGAACACATTCATTTGCTCTTGCACCAATATTCAACAATCTTTCTAAAATATAACCATTAAAAAGTAAAACAATATGCTTATTGTTATTTAGATTACGCTTTCTAGAGATACTAGTCATTCATATGACTTATTCGAAAACCAAACATTGATTGAAGCTATTTTGAGAAATATTAGATGAAATTGAAAAAAAATGCGTATCATATTGCATCTTCTCTCCCTTCTCTGCTTGTCTGTCAGAATAAAATCAATTATCTAATGATTACAGAATCGTAAAGATGGCGCAATATGAAATTTATTGAAAGTTCTATCGAAAATTGTAATGCAAAAAGAAATTTTAAAAAATACTGCGATTCAAAAAAATTCGGAAAAATCTCAAGAATTCGGATGAATTCGGAAAGTCGGAAAGCAGTCTGAAAAACTTAGAAAATTCGGAAATTTCCGAAAAATTCGGATGATCTGGCAACCCTGCGATAAATACTTATTTACAGAAAAAATGGCCATTTTCTACCCCAAAATAGCAGTTTTTTATTTGAGAGTAACTTTTTTTCGCTGTAAAAAGTTCAAATTCGTATAGAACACAAAATTTTGAGTTAGAAAAGACATTTTCCACTAGAGTTTGAAGAAGGGTTCTTTTACAAGGGACTCAAAATTGAAAAATAGAGTCTAGACTGTGGTCCAGACTATATAGAGAACAAGGGAGTTTTTAGAGGTTCTATTATGAAATTCATAATCAGCATACTTTAATATATAGGACTATCTAGCTTTGATTGATGAAAAACGAAATTTTTTTTTCGACGATACCTGGGGGACCTCAGCGACCAAAATTGATGATGTCATTTTTTTCAAAATAAACCTGAAATAAATAATCAAAAGTCACCACATATTCAAACCTAATAGAAACAAATTAGTCCTGAAGCAGTTTAAAAGATTTGGCCTTATCCGCCCTCCTCCTTTACATCGATACTTATCCATGTACACTTCGATATCGATAGTGGTTCACCGATACGTCCATTGGGTGATGCTAAATCACAGTGGTCGTTTAGTGCCAGTGGCAACACTTTTGCTTTCACATGACAACATGATAAGATGAGTGAAGTTACATGATCAACCAATCTGTATATATACACGATTGATCTGAGCAAGCTCAACATGCCGAATGTGTGCATCGCATGTACTAATCAGGCTGTAGATACCGATCCGAAATACTCGCCTACCGAATAGAACGTGCTAGTATACCGAGTACATTCAGTGCCAGACTACGAATCCGATCAATTCAAAGTAAAATTATACGATTGAGAGTGTGAATATTGGTACAGAATGAATTCAGTTTTCTGGTCTCACATACGAAAACGAGGACGCTGCTCGACAAATGGGACAGAAGTATTCAAGTTGCGACATGGTCGAACGATAGTCGATCGTTCTTTCTCGAACTAGGTGAACAAACAAACAATGTACTTTATCAAGTATTGAATGTCCTTACTACTAATGTAACAGTTGTTCACTCAGTGAGTGGTAACGGAATTTGGCATGATGTTAGTATTCATCTCATCGACAACCAAATACTACAATGTTGCTAATCGAATGGAATCTATGAATGTACCTGAATAAATTCATTTAAGTGATGATACATATAAACGATTAATAAATCGAGAACAATATATATTTGAAGAACGAGGTGAAATCAATATTAAAGGCAAAGGTCTAATACATACATATTTTTTATTGGATCGAAACCTAACTCAAAATCGAACAAGATCACGTACAAACACAATGACTGATAAAGAAGTGCGAATATCTATTCTCTTGTGTTATGATATTTTATTCTATTTATTTACATTCATTTTATATAAACCACTTTTATTTACATAATAATTGAAAATAATCATGATAAATCTACATGAAGAAAATAGTCTTTGAAATGTTTTGGAAATTGAAAATTCCTGTTCGTCAAATAGTCCAATTTTGTACACATATAATTCACTTTTGCACAATTCAATCGTGTTGCATTTCTTGTAAAATTGTATGTTACACTTTCTAAAGATTCATACTTAACAAAAAGACTAACATTATTTGGCAAACACATTTTGGTATCAATTAAAAATTCTTCCACATAATCATCATGAGCTTCATTAAGAAAAAGTTTGTTAAGATGAGGATATTTAATGATTGATAAATCTTGATTGTCATTTTCTGTTTTTATATATCGTTTACGATTTTGTGGCTTTTTATTAATTACAGTTAATTCTTCCAATAGTGGAAATGATTGAGCAATTCGACAAAAGAATTCATGTTCAAATGGACGTTCATCAAATAATGATATTTCATGAACATATTTAAATAAACCTCCTAGAAAATTATTTGTTATTTCATTGTAATGTTTCAATTTATATGGATATGAATAAATATGACAGTGACTATATTTTTTTTCTGGAAAATAATCAACATAAGAAATAATCCTATTATCTGTAAAATCTCTGAATGTATGTTGAATATCTTCATTGAATGGTAAATTAATTTGATTAGTATGAGAAATAATTGAACGAATATTAAATGTCAATTGATTTAATCGTGGCATATGATTAAATATATTATTCTTCAAATTATTTCCATCAATAAATTCTGTTTTACAATTGACTATGAGATATAAATCAAGTTCTTCTAAATTCGGCATTCGATGTAGAAGTAGTATAATTAATTCATCATAAACACCTGTAGGACATCTAGAGTATAGCAAAAAGAATCTTAAATTAGGTAGTTTTTCCTAGAAACGATAATAAAAATTACTTTATTTAAATAAATTTAATAATAATCAAAAATAATCTACCTTATTGTTAACTGCAAAATTCGAAGAGGAAATGTAATCAATATTAACATGAAGTAAACGAAGTTGATTGACACGTCCATCAAGTAAATAAAGACAATAATCGAAACGTTCCATAGTTATATACAGTTCTAAGAGAGTTGAGGACATAACACTTAAAGGTAATATATCAATGAATGATTGTTGGGCTTCCCATATATATGGACGGAAATTTAAATGTTTTAAATTAGTGAACGTAATACATATATGTGACAATACACGTGTATTTATATTTTTTTGATAGCAATCTTTATATTTAATAGTACGAATAAAGAGCGATGAAATTTGATTTTTTAAGATAGGAATCCAAGAAAAATTGTCTAAAAAATGACAAATATCAATAAGAAAAATATTTATTATTGATTTTAATTTTCGTCTATTTTTCCTTAATCCATTATCCAAAGAATTGAAGAAAATAGCTTACCAATAAAGAGAGATACAGCTGTTTCTATATCGATATTATATAAACCAAGTCCATATAAGTTGGGATAATTTGTGGCAAGAAGAATACGTTCCATAGATGATGATTCAAGATCAAGCCATTTGATATTATGATGAATTTCAGGTAAAATTTGTAAAAATCGACCAAGCATAGGATCTGGTAATGGATAGATGCAATAATCTGAGAAGTATCTCATCAATGTTAAATGACTTGTAAAAGTTGGATCACATACAATTGTATTGAGTCGTTTATTAACGCCTATTAAAGAATAAAGTACTAGAACATTGCTCAATTTTTTTAAGATAATCATAAGGATTTCATCAGGTAAATCAATCAATTGAACACAAGAATATTCCATGTTCATCGGCATTTATCTATTCTTTTTAGTCTATAAATGTCAATATTTAAATAGTCAAACTCATATGTTCTATTTCACCGATCTCGTCAATGAAAACAATGAGATATTTTTTTATAGGCTCCAAGCAGACTGAAAAAAATAAAATGAATTAAGCAAGGGTGTGGGTGGGTGTGGGTGTATGGGTGTGGGTGGGTGTGGGTGTGCGTGTGGGTGGGTGTGTGGGTGTGGCGTGGGTGTGGGTGTGGGTGTGGATATACTAGTGACAGGAGAAATGATACACACCCACACCCACACGCACACACCCATCCACACCCACACCCACCCACACCCACCCACACCCACCCACCCCACACCTACACCCACACCCACACCCACACCCACCCACACCGACCCTAGCTTGGTTCACTACAATCTGTACATAGAGTAAATAAGATATAATGTCGAGGATTGAGGTGCAAACAAATATTAGATTTGTTCTCTAGCCTATATTTTTATTATCTCAGTATTCATCTCGTCTGTTTTCAATAT